AAACATACTTACCAACAGTAGGTGTAAACCATGCTTGGTGCAACTATATGTATTATAAACATACTTACCAACAGTAGGTGTAAACCATGCTTGGTGCAACTATATGTATAATAACCATAATTACCAACAATAGGTGTATACAAAGCCCTCAGAAGCGATGATCGCTGAGGCATAAATGTTGGCTTAAAGGTGTGTTCAGGATTTATTTCGTTTCGGGCTACATCTTCCCAGTCGAAAGCTTCTTCAATTAACATATTCCATTGGCACTGTGTTCGATGATAGGCCTGTAGAGCTCGAATAATCTGTGGTGAAATGTACAATCATGCATGTAGGACGACTGGCTAAGATAAGTCTATTCCAAACAGGTGACAGAAGTCAGTCAATCATGATATTTGTATAAACAAAGATACTGTATAACATTTGTTTAAAACTCTTTCACCATTACAGGTACATATAAAAAACATGTTATGAGAGCATCTCCTAGCCAAACTTTAACACTGTTGCACTAGTTTTACAAGGGTCAATTTTCTCCCTTTAACCCCCTGCAGACATCTTAAACACTTGTAAGAGGTACCAAAAAGTCCCCTGTTTAATGATGCATGATTCATGTTTGTACAACAATATATAGAGAAATAATTTTCTTCCGTTTTAACAAAACTTATACTAACTTCAGTACTATAAACAAGACAAAATAAATTAATCACAAAATTCAGTACTTTGTCACATGTACAACAGCTCCATCTACCAGATTTTTCCTGATTATGAAAGAACATTGCAATGGTTGAATTCAACATTCACAGAGTGGTTTTAATGGGCTATTCTAAACTAGTCTGACTTTAGTATACACATTTAAGTTTTTGTACATTGTCCAGCGCAGCTATTATTTTATTCCTGTACCTTTAATAAAATTAATTAATTAAACAATATTCGATGACGAGGAATCCACTTTGAGACTAATAATGGCTGGAGACGGCTTGAATGGGTAATGAAGAAAAACTTTAATACAACAGCAAATGTACAACGTTTCGACCTGATGATGACAAAACCTTACGTTCGAAACGTTAGTTACTATTTGTCTGTTGTTACTGCTGTACGGCCGAACGGCGGAGTGTACGGTACGAGCAGATCGATAAAAGTTAGTAAGAAATT